ATCTTCTGTTCATTAGATTTTTCTCCTCAACGATGTCAATGGCCTCCCTAATCTTCCGCTTCCTTGTGTTGTCTCCGTTTGAAGCTCTTCTTTCTGTTGCCTTCCAATTGATTTCGTGTCCAGTCTGTGATGTGTTCTGCTAGTTCTGATCTTTCGGTATCCATTTTCCTGCAGAGCCTCTGATGTCCCTTGATTCGTGTGCTAATTTTTATTTATGTTTCTCATATATATTTCTGTTCTCACGCGCCGCATGATATACAGTAAACTCCTAAGCAAGCCAATTTGTCTACCCTTTTATGTTGCGTCGGTTGATTTATGATAAGTTTTGATTTCTCTTTCATGAATACCTGAATATTCTATTTCCTCAATATTTGCCGTAATTTTTTTGGTGGTTTGCAAGACGGTAGGCATATCCACTTTTGTTAATACTTCATCGTTCTTATTGTTCTTTCAAAGTGCCAGTTCTGCCATCGGCTTTTCACGGCCCGTATGTTTCTTTGTATCACTTCGCTAGGGTAGCCATTGATTTGACGAGTTTGTAGCTTGGTGCCGAGAATGGCAAAACTTACTGATGATGCCCACTAAGATGCTGGCGAAACGTTTGAGAATGTACCAAGTCCACTTTCTGATGCTAGGGATCACGACAATTACTATGGCAAATGACTTCGGGCTAGGTGCATTCTACTAAGTCGCCCTGACAACAAGACCAAGTTGCGACAACGAGGTCACCCCACTTCTTAAAATCGAAATGAGGCTGCGACCATACCAGAGGTCACAACATCTTGGTCTTCATATCTTCTTTTAACAAGAATTTGCTCAGCATTGGAAATACTGTGTATTTAATATTCTGATCACATCTGCATATTAGCAATCATGTGGAAGCATTTAAATTGTACATTTCCAGAAGCAAGACAAACAAATGAACAAAAAGATATTCCACATCTAGTTCTTTCCTATTCATAATTTCTCTAATTAACTTGCCTCTTAATATATTGATCTGGCTTATTATTAAAAATTTTAATTAAATACCGATATGACTGAACGTTATAGCCTTCAAAGCACAATGATAAAGCTCGGTGTCTGAGCTTGCTTAAAATTTTATTCCTTTGACTTTGGTCGGTCAATCCATGGGAATATATTTTTATGTCAGAAACGAATCAATTAAAAACATAAACTGAAATAAATATCCTCATTGAATTCGGCCTATACAACAAATGGAATTAAGCAAACCTGTTTCCTTACAACTAGATTATGCGACGATTTACAAAATTTGAGTACGAGAAATCTAATTTTAGCTCAGTTAGAGACCTGATAATTTTTATACTGGATTGCGATGCTTAAACTCAATAATTACATATGAACATCATCAGGTCTCCGTATAATTAAAAAATATGCCTCCGCGAGGTTCTTTCCCATAATCACATTCTTGCTCCGGAAGCGATCTCTTCATATCTTTATGATGCAGGATGCGACTCTTTGATAGACAGATCCGGACGACAAGTCGCCAAATTTACGTAAATTCAATACGTGTATTTTATGAGTGTATGCAATTCACTGAAGTTGTCGCATTTTAAATCAAAAAATATTTATATTAAGACAGCGATATCATGCTACTGGAATATGAAAGAAGATGTTTGTTTAATGTACCTTCTTTTTTAGGGTTTAGGATTTAGTAGAGATTTAGGAGTGGATCATCTATAAGCTAATTACAGCCACTTGGGATGCCTTTTTTTGCATTTGGCAATTTATATTGCTCATAATTTGCTATTAATCTACTTTCACCTCTACTTTGAATTATCCTGAATATTCTTGATAATGATGACCTTCTAGTCCAAAAATCTACCGTAAAGCTATAAAATGTGCATCTAGTTAAATATTTAACCACTAACATTAAACTATCTCCATTTATTTTTTATTGTTCCACTCATAATGAATTCAGCTTGGCGATGTTGAAAAGAAGCTTGACCTAATTCTAAAATTAGTTTGCGAGGAGAAGCAGGATCGCGTCCAACTTCAGCCCTCATTACCAGAATTGCCAGCATCCAGCCTTGCCAAACTCCCAGCCATCCCCGCTGTCTACGCATCTGCATCATCCACATCTGCTGAAGGAGCTAGAAGCTCAATTAGCCAGAAAATCGGCCCAGATCAAACATCTCCTGCAACTCAAGTCATTGCAGCCTCACTAGACCGTATTCAACCCACTTTGCTGGCCATCAGATCTACCGGACCAATCAGTCCACCTTCTCAACAATCAGACCTTCCATTGTACCAATCTTCATCTTCATCAGTACCGAACTCTGCTAGCCCAACTTACTTTAACTTTACCAATTGCATGTCGCTCGAGGCTCATAGTGCCTCAGTATGCTCAGAAGACTCCGGAGGTACCGCAGACGCAGCAAAGGTTCCGGATGAACGTGAACCAGTGAAAATGGCTAGTCAAGCTTCTTCTCTGGGGCTCAGGCAACAAATTGCAAACTGCGGACAGCTAAATTTAAAAGCAACGGCGTTGGAGGCTAAAAGCTTGACTACATCTGAGCAAACGAATCCAGAGGTTGGTAATACTGGTAAAAGTTTGTTATCTTTAACAGTACTTTAAGAGGAAGACCTTGTATCTTACTTTCCTTATCTGCTTTTGCTTTGTATGCATCGAATTACGGCTTGGATAAATGGCTTTAATCACATTTTATGAAGTAGCATGGCATACTAGTGTATGTTAAGCTGTTAGAAAATTATAACTTTTACTCAAAAGGTTTTTTGCAGTAAGAATATAACTTTTTACAGAAAAAATAAATTTATTAAGATTAAATAACATGCAAATTGAGCTGTACAAATCAAAAAGGATAATTCATATTTGTATGTCGCTTCCAAGAATGAGAGTAGGG